AGCCAGTTCAGAGACTGAGGAGAAGCCTAGGGGGAAGAGGCGGAAGCCTACGAAGGGTAAGAGGAGTGGTAAGCAGAGACGAATCGGTCAGGACAAGACAAAGGCTGAAAGGATGGAGATGGGGCAGCATAATTAGTGGCTGTCGTACAACATTCACATGTGGCTCACACACGCACGCACACACACACACACACACACACACACACACACACACACACACACACACACACACAGGGGGAGAGAGAGAGAGAGAGAGAGAGAGAGAGAGAGAGAGAGAGAGAGAGAGAGAGAGAGAGAGAGAGAGAGAGAGAGAGAGAGAGAGAGAGATACACACGCACTGATAGTAACCTAGAGAATGTCTGCTGTGCCATCTCGAGTCGTCAAACACCAGAGGCACCGTGCTAACCTGACCAGTTGCCACGCGAAATATGTGCGCGAATGCCTCTACCCGGCGGATGCCTGGCTCTGGGAGCACATCTGCGTGTCGCACTCGTTTCCGAAGCACCTGTATGCAGGAGTTTGGCCTCGCAAGAGTTTTGGTGACGGCGCAATCACGTCACGGAGGACAGGCCGGTGACGGAGGACATGCCGGTGACGGAGGACATGCCGCTGCCGAGTTGTAGTTCGGTCCCAGCCAGCAACCCAGCAACTACTGTTACTACAGCGCGGGCGATCCCCTCCTCTTTCGCCACGCTGGCCTAGCAATGTCCTAGCCAGGATTTTTCTTCGCGGACACATGCTTGGTCTCGACCGTGAACTGGCTAGTTCCATTTCACTGTGGCACAGCTCGCGTTACAAAACCAAGAGTTATACACCCGCGTGGGGAACTCGAAATTCGCGTGGGGAACACCGGCACAGCGCGTGGGGAACACCGGTACGGCGTGGGGAACTCCGCGTGGGGAACTGCCGGTGCGCCCCCAGAGGGGCGGCGGCGCATGACGAAAGGCTGGAGCTGGCGCCGCAGGAATCCCGGCGGCCCCGCGAAACTTGGTGGCGCAACGCAAGTCCCTCGGGAGGTGCGTTCGCCGCCGCCCGCCGCCAATGCCCGCTCAGGCAGCCGGCCGTCCTGGCTGCCCCTCT